TTATGAGATATCTTGAATTAAGGAAAATCCGTATGATCTAAATTATGTTTACGATATTAAGTTAAGAATGGTTGCTGATAGCATTGCTGTAATTGATTTAAAAGAATAAAATAATTAATGTAAAGTAAATACAAATTAGCGGATTTTTATGCAAAATATTTTAACTAACGTTGATATTTGCTAAAGTGTTGTCGAAGAAATTTCGAATAGCGTTAGTTTCTGGCTCGGAGAATGCTTTAGAACCTCGATATGTCTCATAGCACATGTTACCACTAGTTCCCTTTCCACCCCAGCGATAACCAAAATTTCTGTTTAAATCTACACCCGAGCAAAGAGTGCCCTTTCTTCTATTCTTTCTCCACAAACGATCGTATTGGAAGGTATATCTATAACCATCTGGATTGGCAACTGGCAGAATGTAATAGTCTGTTTGTAAAACATCGCTATTTTCAACCAGGTTATCAATGATATAAGTCACAGCTGCCGGTGAGATCCATTCCCGGGCATGTATTCCACCATCAATCCATATCGCAGGTGTATTTTCCGTCTTACCATTACTAATCCTTAGAACCTTTTAACATTTATAAAAATATTAAAATCTTAAACATCAAATTTTTTATTAGTATCAAATTAGATGTGGATACCTTGAGGGGTTGTCCTTCAATGGAATTACCGATGGATTGAACGGAGCAGACATCAGGATAAGTGTTCGCGAGATAATCCAAGTAGCCATAAATATCATTTATGTCATGGTAACTGGTCCATTCCATACGATGACCTGATGGATATATCTTCAAGATTATTTAGAGATTGCACGTTCCATTCCCTTGTGAGCTTGTATAGCAACCGCTTCGTAGATTTAGCTCAACGCAAAGCAAGCATTTCTTTCAATTGTCATCTTACAAAATATTTTTTTCAGTACTCCTTACATTATATAAATCTGATATATTATTCTGAATCGACGAAACGAATTATGCGCGTCTGAAAGCTCACCCCTAAAATGCCATGGAGCACCCCCACCATATACACTAGCAGGATAACGAAGAGGACGAGGACGTGGAAATCTAAGTCTGACTCCCTGCCACCAAGCGTAACGAGCTAAAAAATTACTGAATACTCGGTGACAGAAGCGATGCATTTATTATAAAAATTCCCAAATGCTCATATTTATTCCTATAGTTTAATTTGCGTTTCAGCAATTTTTCGACTTTTCCAATATTGTTTGCAAATGTAATAATTTCTTGCACGAATCGAAAACTGAACTTTGCCGAGTCCGTCTTGGATAACGGCATCGAGATGAGATATCGACTGACCATTATGCAAACGACCACAGAAAACAACGAAACATCGCTGAATGCCCGTACGTGCGAAGACTACGCGTTTTACGCACGCCTTACAAGTAAAGTATAACTGTTAATGTTAATCAGCATTGAAGCGGAACCGGGTTACTAAGTGGGATTCACACAAGGTCAATAACCTCGATTCATTTTAAACTGTTTTTCTTTGAAAATGTATAAGAATTTGAAATTATTAATTAATGTATTAACTTTTCTTTTTAGAATATATGTGTATTCCAATTTATGATTTTTAACAATGATTCTCAAACATACTTAACACATACACGCATTACATCAAATGGTACAATTTTCTGATAACACATATAAATAATAATAAAATATATTACTAATCTTTACAGTGAATATTAAGTTAACTGTCCAAATTATGTTAAAGTCATATAATAGACAAGAATTTTACGAAATATGTTTACATCAACATTAGAATAGTTTTCATATGTTTGACTTATTTATTGTATTTTCTACTTTGTATTTTTCTGATGTCCTAATTATTATAGATACTATAATAATTTAGTTCAATTGAGACACAATATTTAATTAAAACAATGGAATCTTAAATTTATTTTTATAAAAATTATTTTAATTATTTAGTTTGCAATTTTAAATAAATAAATTAAGTAAATGGAGATCATTCAAATTAATTAATCCGATTCAAAATTAACAACAAGCTGTCATTTGCAATAACTTATTTTTGAATGTATTTCTGAATAAGAATTATTAATTCATTTTAATTAGTTTTCTTTGCTACATGATTGATCAATAATAGCTTCTTCCGTTTACGTAAACAAGTGAAAAACAAATTATGAAGATCGATTATTACTTCTTTTCTATTATTAATAAAATTGTCTAAAAGTGATGAAAAATGATAAGTTAAGAGTGATAACTAATTGTAAAACATAAACTATAAGCAACTGACTTGATGCGTGTATTTAATAATAAATATTTAATAATAATAATCAACCTTATTCTTAATAATAATTATCAACCAAACAATAGCTTTTTCCGTAATTTTTATGAATATCAATGAAACAAAATAACTATAACGATTGATTGCTTTTTTTCATTATTAATAAGATTGTAAAAAGTAAAAAAAGTAAAGAAAAATAATAAAGAGCAAGACTAATTGTGAAGCATATACAATAAGCTGCAATAACTTAATGCGAAGTATAAGTATTTAATAATAATTATTAAAAGCACTTAACGATGCATGAATATGTCAATAAATATTATATGTAGACATTAATAGTATTGTTACTATTATTTATCTTTGAAGAAATTTTTATTTTCCTTGCGATATTGTTGAATGATACAGCAATATTGATTTTATGATATAGCAATTAAAAATTGATGAAGTTTAATTAATGCAATTGTAATAAAATCTCAAACCTTTGCGTCCTTCGAGTTCTGCTTGCATTGCGGTTGTAAGTCGAACATTCCCGTCATCGATCGCTTTTTGCACATCTTTGATCAGAACGTCATATTTTATTCTGCAATTGTTCAATAGCAAATCGACGTTATAAAGCATCTGATTTCGAATGAAAATATCGACTGTCAATGGATGATTGGACCATATTTGATATGCTACATTAAAAAAAAGATTTTATTAGACTCTATTTATAACTGTTGTTCTTCTAAAACTTTTAATAATACATATCATTTTGAAATACAGTAAAATATTTATATTTTAATATAAATTATATTTATGTACAACCGTTTTGATCATGTTGCTCCACCAAATCATTTACTGAATCATTGTGCTTGTAGATTCGCCACACTTGATCACCGACATAAAAAACTTTCTTACTGAAATCCTCTCTGAAATCTTGTTTAGCTGTTTTTTTATAAGCCACAGATTCGTCGCTTTTAAGATTCACGGTCGCATCAACGACGAAGACAACGATTGTTATCGTTGTCAACGCCACCCATTTTATGTGATTTTTTCCACTGTGCTTCATTTTAGCTGAAACTGTTCTTAAGAGCAGAATATACCAAGCTTTTATAATACGCGACCGACGCTGATCGGGAGTATAACGGAATTACTCGATCGAAGATGCGGAGTTTGCCGAATCCAACCGTAATAAATTCATATCGAAAGAAATGCTGTTTATAGAAGGACAATAAAGTTAAATAGTCTTCTTTTTATTTAATGTATCTCATATGGTCGAACCACGCGTCGACTGCTGACATTTTTATATAAAAATTGTTATATATTACTATACACTTAATAACATCAAATCGACATTCAAAAATTACAAGATGAAATATTATTATGTTCTAGGTACGTATTATAGAATTATTCGAAAATAGATTTCAATCGAAATTACTTTATTTTCCTTAAAAAAACATAATAAAAATTTAGAGAATAATTGAATAATTCTAATCAGAATCTATTTCGCACAATTTCATAATACAGGAAATCTTTTAAGATTTAAGAATACTTTTAGAATAGAAATGGAATGAAACAGGAAATCATTTCGTAAAACAAAAAACAAAAAAAAATTATTTTCGGAATACTCTCTATGCTATCTGAATATGTACACAAAATTTATTTTCATTATAATTGTTTAATTTATCTTCATTATTATCAGAATTCCACATAAATAAAGGAAACTACAAAATAATTATACAAATAAATAATTGCCAGAATTTTTATTTTTTTAAATTTATATTTAAAATAATATTATTTATTGTTAAGTAATACAAGTATTTGTAGATTTTAAATATTATTGTTTGTTGCAAGACTTCTTTATAGCAATAGATTCATTGATGCTACTTTATTTAATTTAGAGCGCCGACGCAACTCTCAATGACAACTCGACGGCGCAAATCGCGGGCAGACACGCGGCTTCTGCACAACGTTCTTCTTGCATTGTTCTTGCACCGCTACGTCGTAATCGTGATTACAGTTAAAAAAAAAGAGAACTGCAACGTCTGTATCAGAATATCATTTGGGACAAAATCGTAAAAGTATGAAGTGCCTATTGACGATCATCACTCTCATGGCTATTACCTCGACCATTAAGGTACCGTTTGCTGTCCGTATTTAAGATGATTTTATTATATCTTCCCTAACCGTAACTGCATTTTTGGATACCGTTAATACGTAATTCAACGTTTGGTATAGAAATTAATTATTTATTGCATTAAAGGAACATTTTTTTTTATTTGTATATTTTATATCAATTTGCGACTGAATATTTCTAAGACATTTCAATATTAATCTTTTACAATGTTATAAATTTTACGATAAATTATTATTAACTTAGAGCTTGAGGATTATCTTTTTATATACAGTAGTAATAAAAAGATAAAATAGTAATAGGTCAAATAAACGTGTATATGTGTTTGTCATACCTTTATCATAAGGTTTCTTTGGTCTCTTTAATAGATGCATATGTACATACATAACCACATACATCTATCATAAGCTATACACATGAATCATTCTTCTGTAACTGTGTATGTTACTTTAAATGTAACCCACTACATAGATACTCTTACGAATATGCGTTAAATTAATAGGAGGGAGAGTTCTATTCCATATTATTTCTATTAGTTTGCAGTACTTATAATATTCAAAGCACATTTCAAATAATGTCAATAGGATTTGCAGCATACATTCAAAATTTTTATAAATACTTGGAAACTTAACAACATCGAAATGTAATCGCAACTTCTTGCATTGCAATTAAATTTAAGTTATATATAAAACAAGATATATTATTGAAAAAGTAAAAGTTAATATCATCCGTATTAAATAATGCTAAATAAAGATAATAGTTTTATAATAGTAATACAAACCCATTATATAAATTTTAAATATATTATAAATCCGAAAATGCAATATACATATATTAAATTATAATAAAAATACATATTATAATAAAAATATTAGGCAATAGCATAATGTAAATATTTATTTATTGTTGATACATTACAATGTTTAAGAAATAAATATGATAACGACCTATAACTCGATTGTCTACAACGTAACTTGATTGTCTACATGCATTATATATTGCACACAAATATAAAATTAAGAGAAAAATGTATGTTTGCACACATGATACTATTATGTACAAACTGCATTACACACATAATGTTATTGCTTACAGATTAATTGCTCACTAGCAATAATCTCTGCTTTAAAACACAAATTTTGTTTTAAAACACAAATTCTCTACTTTAAAAACAAATTATTTTGCATCATATAACATTGCTTCAATAATACAAATTAAAAATAAAAGTTTAGAAAGGCTATGAACCAAATAACAATAAAATAAATGTATAAATATAAGAAATAAATATAATTATCATGATCTAAAGCAAATAACAAATAACAGACATCGTTTCAAACCCGATCGATCTTCAATGTTATATATAAACATAATTAAATAAAACAAATTAATTTAGTTTATCTGTTCTATTTAATTATGTGTATTAATTATGTAACATTGAAGATGATTCGATTGGGCTCGAAACGATGTTATCTGTTATTTGTTATTTGCTTCATATCATCTTTTATCATTGATCTTCTTCGAAAGATACTGCAATAGAAACTGTAATTGATATCAAATTAAATGTTCCGAAAAATCAATTGATATCGATTTGATTTCGACTTATGAACTAAGGATGATATATATGTGCAAACGTATTTTCTTAATTTTATATTTGTACGGCAAAAGTACTTGTAGGCAATCGATCTATAGATAATAATATTATGTGTGCAATGTATAATAATTTGTGCGCAATAGTGTCGTGTGTACACACTTTTTCTCTTAATTTTATATTTGTGCGCAATAGTGCAGGCAATAATTTTTGTGCGCAAACAAATTGTTGGCAAATATGTAGACAAAGGATGCGATAAGCAATCAATTTGTAGACAAACAGAGTCTTTTCCGTCAATTACGTTAGAGGAAACACTTGTGAACACTTGGAAAAACCATTTACATATTTTACAAATTTACAATGATTAAGTGTATACACTGAAAAACATAATATCGTTTTAACAGCATAATTTTAATTGAAAATAATCCTGTTGATTTAACAACAATACTATTGAAAACAAACAAAATTTGATTAAAACAAGATAAATATTGTTATATTCATAAATATTGTTGTATTCAGTGGTAGTGAGAAAAATGTTTTGGGAGGGGCTGTAGAAATTAGTTTTTAATGTTCTTTTTTATACTAATAATACATTTGGTAAGTATAAACAAAAAAAGTTTCGTTTAAAAAAAAAATAAATTCAATAGCAAAAAAGTTATGATAATTTATATATATGTCGTTGCAATGTCGCGTCGAACGTTTCGCTGACACTGCATATAAATTGTCATAAATTTTTTACTATTACATTTAAAGATCTAAAACTTTCTAGAAAACTTTAAATATTCAACTACAATATAGCATTAATGAAAATTTTTAATTCGAAAATTTGTAACACAACTTTAATGAAAAAAAATTCACTAAACTTGACAATATTGAAAATCCGCCATTTTATAAAGTGCTTCGAAAATTTCGAAATAGCTCTCATAAATCGTAGAATATATCAAAGATTATAGTATAAAATTTAATAATGAATATTAATATCTAGCTGAGATTTCACTAGTTGAAGTGCTGTCATTCTTCCAATGCCACTTTTTGCGATTGTGCTAACAGCAACATTTTTTTCCGTGTAATTTATCGAATTTTTGTTTATGTGCCATACACAAAACGAAAATCAACAAATATATTTTTAATACATAATAAACGATATTTTTGCAACTAAATTAAATATGAGAACTATCCCAACAGAATTTAATTTTCTCTCTCAAAACAAATTGATATTTACGGCTCAACAATTCTTTATTCTTATGAAATTATTGAAATTATTCAGAATTTCGGGGGAGGGAGGGGGGAGAGAGAGACTGTAATCCCACAGCCTTCCCCTTGGCTACGCCATTGGTTTTATTAATGGTGTTATTGAATTAACCAAATTATTTTTATTTTAATTATTTTATTTTAATTAAGATAATACTGTTAATACAACATTTGTAATACAACATTTTTTTTAGTGTAGATATCCATTTTAAGTATAAAATAAAAATGATTTTCCAAAACCTATTTAAAATAAAACTATTTTAAATGTTAAACCCTACGAACAAAAATTATAGATTAAACGAAATATCGCTCATATAAAGAAATATTTTCAATTTTTACATAAATTAATTTAGATAGACAAAAATGTATACGCTTTGCAATAATAAGTTTTACATCATATCAACTTTCTAATATGAATTCAATGTGCGGGCGGGAATATGATGGTATATTACTTTTATCGACGTTTTTTTTAACAACGTTACTAACAGCACATTTGTAAACTGCACATTTGTTTCATAATTGTTTAAATAATGCTTTCTTGTATTTTATCACTATGTGATTCCAATATATGTAATTCCAGTTAAATATAACATAATAGTACGTTTTCAAACTTAATTATAAGTTTATTCTTTTACTTATACTTACGAAAAATACCAAATTTTAATCGTTATTAAAATACTATAAAATAATAAAATAAAATAATAAAGATCTGTTTAAATTTATTGAGATTATTTTGTATAGTTTCTTTTTTATAGATTTCTATAGATTCTAAATTATCTATTTATTGTACTTGGAAATATTATTAACAACAATTTTTTTATAACTTCTACGCATTTTTAAAGATGTGATCGAAATGAAGACTTTGGTAAAAATGTAATTTCCTTGCAAAGTCTGTCAGGAACTATGTTTATTACTTATTATGCTAATTATAATAAAAAATTATATTGTAACATTTTAAAGAACATTGCGCGCGCGCGCGTATAAAGTATAATATTATAAATTAAATTTATAAAGAGTATAATGTTAAATGTTTAATTTTTATAAAGTAATGTTTAGGTACTAATTGCAACTCCTTTTAAATTTGATTTTATTATGATTTACAATAATTATTACGTAACATTTACATAAAAAATGAATACTTTAAAAAAATTTCTATTTCAGGCAGAAACGTTTAGAGTCACTGATCAAGTATATTTCGATATCATGATTGATAATCATCCAGTTGGTAGGATTATTATTGGCTTGTTCGGCGATATCGCGCCAAAAACGGTGAAAAACTTTATCACTTTTGCTACTACTGGTATAGCTGGAAAAAAATATGCAGGGACCAAATTTCATCGCGTGGTAAAGAAGTTCATGATTCAAGGTTACGCTACTTTTGATTAGTAATTATTTTTTATTAATTATTACAGATATTAAATTATGAATTCAATTGTGATTATGTGTTATAGGTGGCGACGTCGAAAATGGCGACGGTACTGGTTCCATTAGTATTTATGGAAAATATTTCAACGATGAAACTTTTGAAATAAAACATACCGGACCATTGATCGTCAGCATGGCAAACGCTGGAAAGGACACCAACGGTTGTCAATTTTTCATTACTACCATACCAACTCCTTGGCTAGATGATCACCATACAGCATTTGGAAAAGTAATAAAAATATATAAAATTATGTAAAAAATATATTTAATTTGTTATCTGTTTGTGTTTTACATATTTGGAAAATAACTTGTCAGATAATTCTTTTTATTTTTAGTTTATTATCATATTTATTATTGTACTTAAATATCTTAATACATTTTAAATTAATACATTCAACACATTTATTTGTTAATTTTAAATAATTCTTTCCGCAGGTGGTTAGCGGTGAAGCTGTAGTCTTTAAGATCGAACAAACCAAAACGGATAGCGATGACATTCCATTTGTGCCTGTAATAATCTATGACAGTGGAATTCTTCCAACGGAGCCATTTACTATATCAGATAATCCTTACGAGTAATTTAACATTATTGATGCGACTTTAATATTGTTAATTATTTGTTTTTTTTCCTTGACTCTTCCATAGCTTAATTGAATTATTACACTCCCTTTTATTAATTAAAGATAATATTATATTTTCACCTTTAAATTGAGAGACATAATTGTTACAACGATCATTAATTAATTGAGTAACATTATTAGATATATAAAGTTATAAATATAAATACTTTTATACGCTATTTTACGTATTTTACATGCTTTGATAGCTTTATGGGCTTGAAGCTGCTCAAACTTGCAATTTATATTATTTTTCAGAACAATATATTTTATATACTTGATTATTTTATGCTATAATTGCGCAAACGAAAAGACTGCTATACAGACATAAATATAAAAAAAATAAACGTTAAAATTTTAATACTCTCGGAAGGTAGATTTAAATTTATTTTTTAACATATCCATCTTCTTTATGTTTATTTTTATCTAGAAATAATTTTTAAATGACACAATTAAATTCATAAATCATTAGTGCAATATTAAAATATGCATATTTGCAGTGCATGGGCGTGGATTAAGGCGACCTGCATACCGTTGGGATTTAGCTTCTCAATACTTGCGATCTTTCATTATATGATGAAACAGTTGGATGTCTAAGTGACAATCTTGATGTGAAAAACTGATTTAAAAAATGAATTCATGTCTTTATTGGACCTAAAAATTTAATATTTATTTTTATATGTAAAATTATGTATAATTGCATATTACTTATGCATCATTTTTATAAAAGAATTACATTATTCGTATACAGCTAATAAAACGGAGTATGATTTGCTTCTTATAAGATAACATGCACGAGAAGAAAGAAACATCAAGCGCCATCTCTGTAAAGGTTAAGACACTGTTGAAACTACTATGTAGACATAAATGTAGAAATATTAAAAAAAAATTATTTCATTTACTTTATAATAAATTGAATAAAATGCAAAACAGAATCATATAAGGTAATAGGATTCTATATATATAACCCCATATATTGTTTTCTTAATGACAATATTCACATCAAAGTAATTGAACTTTGAATCAGACAAGGTGTTTCTTACAGATTTTTGGATGCTAAAAAATAAGTTTTACCAGCACGTCAGGTTTTTGAAATAATTAAGGTTTAATGTATCTTCTGAATTGTCGTATTTTCGGAACATTTTCTTATTTTTCTCATCCTATTTTTCTCATAAACTTGATGTGATAGAACATTCTAATTTGCAGATTCAGCGGATTTAGCATAAAAATTACGAAAATCAATCAATTTCTTCTTTAAACCGCAAAAATCATGCTGTATAATCCTTACAAATAATTTAATATTATCGGTGCAAATATTATTAATTTAGTTCTTTTTCTTAACTCTTCCACAGCTTAATTGAATTGTTGCGCTCCCTTATATTAATTATAAACTATATTTGATACAATAATCTTGTAAACTGAGAGAGATAATTGTCAACAGTTATGAATTTTTTATTAATATATGAAGTTATAAATATAAAGCTATAAATATTTTTATACTCTTTGACTTCACTTGATGCAACTGCTTCGCAGCATTTTTTGGTTAGTTAATTAATAAAATTCTTTCTTTTAATTGATAATTGTATTCTTTTTACGCGCTCTTTTTACGTTCGTCATAATCTTTTAGCCACAGCTGAATTTATAATTCATTAATGCAATATCAAAATGTGCATATTTGCAATGTATGGGCGTGGATTAATGCAACCTGGATACCGTTGGGATTTAGCTTCTCGATACTCATTACATGATGAAACAATTGAATATCTAAGTAATAATTTCGATATGAAGAACTGACTTAAAATAATGAATTTATGCATTTACTTAATTTAAAGACACACATTTATACATGAATTATATAATTATACACTACTTATATATGTATCATTTTTATATAAGAGAGTTGTATATACAGCAGCGTCTACAAAGCGCTTAGAAATTTAAGCGCTCGTGTCACTTGTTTACAGCGGATATAAGTCGGTAGCATAGTTTGTTTCATAGCTAACAAGAAGTTATCTAGAAGAAAGGAACATCAGGCGCCATCTCTGTAAAGATCATGACATTATTATTAAAAATACTTACAAAATTTCTTAATTTATTTTGTAATAATTTAATAAAATGCAAAAGTGAATAGTATATGTAACATTATATTGTTTATGAACTTTTATATTCTTCCGCCATTATCATAGTATAATTTGCAAACATATAACAATTATAAAATACATATAACTTTTTTTTATCGTCATCATATGATAATATATTATATATTATAATATATATAAGAAGAAAAAAAGTGAATAAATGTTTTTTTAATTTAATAATAATTAATTATTATATTGAACAGCGAAAAAGAGAGAATCGCCTTAATATAAGATAGTGCCGATGACGCATACAGTGCGCGTTACCGCGCATGCACACTAGGCTTTACTGTACACGAGTAAATGCGGATATCGGAGTCAGCCTTGGCGTCTAAACGACCAAACCAGTCGGTGGCAAACCGGCGTCGACCAGACCTCGGTGGTCGGCTGAAGTCGGTTGTGGTACGTAAGAGAGAATTGAGAGGCGGTCGATGCTCCGTTAATTTTATAATAGATGACACATAGACATAAACGAGCGTTGTCATTCATAAAGTCATAAAAAATACACAGTAGTTGAGTGCATCGTGGGTGCGTTTGTGATCACTAGTGGTGATGACGTGTTGCTTTCGCGATTGCTGAAAAGCGTACCGGAAAGTGCATGTTGCTCTCTTCGAAGTTCGATTGGTCCGAAGACAGCTGGGAGAAAGTTCTTGAAGGGGGATGCTCCGAAACAGTGTATAAGTGTGCTCGTATAAGGTACGCTCTATTTTCTACTACAACGATTTATTAAATCGAGGCGAGTGCGGAAATAACAACGGAATGTTTAGAAATTCTTGCTTCATTATTTGTTGATTTTTGATGTCATGAAGGAGATCTTTATGATAAAGACAGAGAAATGTTTGAAAGGCATTGTGAGTGTGCTTTAATTTAGAAATTGTGAAGAGATTTTTTTCTTTAATTAATGGACGTATAACTTGTCAAAAAGGAAAAATGACAATTGCATATTTTAAACAAAATGATTTACTTCAGACTTGGGGAGGGGGAAGGGGGGGGGAATTTCCTTTTATAATCATAGACAAGGTTTCTCTGTTTATTAACAAGGTTTCTTTAATGAATGCAAATCGAATTTTAAATTACAACAGAATTACAAATAGAATTAAGTTAATAAATTTATATTAACAAATTTAATTTTGCTCCGAATATAATAAATGGAATTTAGTTAATAAATTTGCGATAATAAGTGAAATTAATAAAAAGAATTATATAAAATATTACATCAAAAAAATTTATTATAAAATTAGAAACATACTCATTGTAGGTGTAAAATTGCGTTATTGTATAATATCAGCATTGTCGACAACATTTATTGTAAACGGAAGCATGAGCTATTGCTGTCAAGGACGATAATCCATGATGCTGTGTTGACTCAGATCCATCCACAATGCAAAAATACTTTATGAACAAAATTTCTACGAAACAATTTTGTGATTAAGATTTTGTTATAATGTAATTAGATTTTTTTATGTTTACACTTATTTACTTCTAAAAGTAAATAAAGAGTCTCTAAATAAACCACATAAAATAAATAAAGATAAATGAAAAAATTTTAAGATTTATTTTTTTATGTAATAATAATAATTATTCAAATATTTAAAAAAAATTAACAAAATTTAATACATTCGATTGCGGTATTATTTACGATAAATTATTTATAATAAAATTATCAATAAGTAATGTTTATCATGTTTACATAATTATTATAAATGTTATATCAATTCAAAGGTTCTTATAAGTATTAACAAAAATTAAAAAATTTAGAACATAGATACTTTACTTTTGTACAATTACTTTTTTACAATTATTTATCGGATTATTGCATAAGACTTCTTAGGCATATATGTGCAATATTTTCTAAAAGAAAAAATACAACAAGATTTGAAACTGTACTTATATCATAGTCTTACCAAACATACGAATATATCAAATCTCTTATTAAATATGTTAAATGTTACTAAATAATAATTAAAATAATATATTTATAATTTTATTTAATAATAAATGAACAAGCGTGATTTTACCTTTTAATTGCTGTAAAGGTATGTAATTTATACTTATTCTTATTTTATTTAAAGTTGCAAAATGATGCAATTTGATGCAACTATATTACAATAATTATCAATTGGATTTAGTCTGCAACTGTGCACGTTATAGAAACCAAATAGTCAATAATTAATTAATTAATGTTTGTTTGCAGTCCTGAAAACTTATTTTATCATCTTTAAAATATTTTTTCAAATTGCTTTAAAAATTCATACAATAGGAGAATCTAGAGAAGACAAATTTATAATTTTATATAGTGAGTGTAAAAAATATTTGTACAAGGAAATTTTTATAAAAAAAGCTTTATTAAAAAATAAACATTAATTAGCAATTTTATTTAATGAATACATTTTATTTTTACATAAACAAATGAGCTTTGCGTATATCTCTAATTTTAGAAGCATGTAAATTTTTACCGTCCAAATAATACAATTTTTAATTTTCGCTTATTTTTAAGATTTTTCTATAATTAATATTATCTTTTTGATATATATAACTTGATATATATAACTAAGAGGCTATAGGTTATTTTATTCTTTATATAAATAAATTGTTAATTATTCAGCAAGAAATGACCATTAATTAAATGTCAAATCGACGTTAAATTAATGTTGAAATCATCGTATCAATATCGATTCAATATCGATTCGATGAGTCATTTCTCGCTAGATAACGTTCACTTTTAAAAATAAGTTTTTAAAAATATTTTAAATAAAATTGTGTTGAGAAGGGCTAAAAATTATTTTCTTTGAACGAATACTTTTTGCACTCATTGTATGTACTTTAAATAATAGTTTTAGACATAAAGATAATCTACCGCAATTATCAAAAACATATAGAAATCTTGTGTAATATTTACACTGCACTTTATTCTTTGAATGTGCAAACTCATGATTAATCTTTCGTGTGGTGCGATATCTATCTTTACACGGAACGTAATTACTCAGTACGCAACTTGTACATTTCATATATTTCTTCATATTACGAAGAAATCATTTATTTACGATTCAATTAAGAATTAACAACATTCCATATCAAGAATTAACAACAAATAATTGTCAAAAAAGATTGTAATATAAATTGATTGATCTAAATATGTGTAATGAATGAATCTAGATACATGTGATAAATTTACATCTTCTGTATTATGTACGCTATTACATTCCAACGTACATTTATTTAGCATTGATTAAAAATAATTCTTCTTATTAGATCACAGATCTTGCTCAATTGTCAGACAGAGACAATAATTCATGACGTATATTTGATAATGGTAGATGACGTTTTCTTTAACACAGCAATTCATTATATATTATTTACTTATTTAATTGATTAAAATTTGTTTTATATATATAATAATTTATGCTGTTGTATCCATGTAATTATATTTAAACGATTTTTTATTACTACACAAATAATAATATATTATATTAAATACTATAATAAATATGTATTTTGATAGAATTATTATTTTATTATTATAAAAAAAAAATATACAACATATACGACATTGGTTATATAATTTTTTAGATATTTCAAGTTTAAAAACAACATACTATTCATAAAATTTTAAATCTATACATTTGCCTAATTAGTATACTCCGAATACTTACAATTCAAGCAAACAATCGAGTTAGATGACTAATTAAAATACGACACACGTGACACATGTGCAAACTACGCGTAGACATTCAATGAATATTGCATACGATATCATGTTTTTAAGACAAAGTACTTTTAAAATATGTATTTTACAGAAATGTATAAAGATATTATTAATAGCGGCTTCAATGTAAGGCTGAAATATTATCTTGATAAAAATATTGTTATATTTGTACATGAATCATGCTGCACGATATACTGTTGTCAATCACGATATTATTTATCAGAGGAAACATGATTCCGTCTAGTGTCTCTTCTCCCATGTGCAATACAATAAGTAAAGCTATTAGTCGCACCTTACATGTTATCTCTATTGGCAATAATCGATATACTTTTTCTTCCATGAAAAAAATTAGAAAATATCTTAAGTTTATTTTTCGATAAATTAATTATACCTTGTATTGTTGTTATTATTTTTTTATTTTATAAGTAACACGTTATATTAGATAAAATAAAATTAGATAAAATAAATGTATTATAATATTTTATAATATTTTCCTAGAAAAAAATAACTTAATATAAATGTAATTTTCTTTATAAATCATTATTATTGAAATAGTTATTCAATGGAGCGACGCAGGTATGCTGCATTGTAAGAAAACTGGAAAATGTTTTCTTTTTAATTTTTGAAAAATTAATCAGAAATTAAAAATTAATTAATATCTATATAGTATTCATTAATTTTCTTCAAAATATTTTTTAAATTACTTACACCACTGTTAAATCTATAATAAATATATTATTTTATACTAAAACAATGGATATATTTGACATTATACAGTGTCAATTTAACACTATAATATAAATATAGTGTCAAATTTAACTATCATTTTATTAAAAAAACAACAATGGTAAAAAAACAACAATATATTTAATAGGAGCAATGGCGACTCACATTAGGTTAAATTTGACACTATAGATTTAACAGTGAAAAATTAAATTACATATATGATCCAATCAAAAGCAATTATCATTACTTTTAATTACTGCTTGTTTTTAATTATTCATTCGTGTCTTTTTTCTTCATTTTCTTTTCTTTTTTATGTGCTCATAAAGATTACTGACGGATTGTACAGAATAAAGTAAAGTTGATTGATATCGCCCATAGTGAAATAATATAGTCACGCAACGTCATGCTTTTTCCCTCTTTCTGTCGCATACACCATTCGCGTTCACATCTTCATGCGATAAAAGCGTAACCGGCGCACCTCTCAGCGATGTGTCGTCCCTATGTAATTGGCCCGTAATTAAGATGGGCGCGCCTCTTTTTGCTGAATCCTCTCATGACTAAAAACATACTCGCTCTTGTTCCCAGGATTGCTTAATGGCAAGTCATTTCGGGAACTTTCAGCTACCATGCTAACTACTTAATCGCGTTAATCGTTACGCATACGTCAAATAACTAATAAATCGGTTTTTTTTTTACAATAAGATTTCTGTGAAATACGATATTAGTATTATTTAACGATATATAAATGTTGCATATAGGAATTCGTAACATTCTATGTTACGAATAAATAACTTAGGGTATTCATAGTCCGTTTTTATTTTAAGACCGTCTTAAGTAACATCTTAAGATGCTAATATGGCTGTCTTATTGGTTTATGACATCTTAAGATTATACTTAAGACGATCTAATATTTGAATATAAGATCTGACTATAAATACCGACCTTAAAGTAACTTCAAATGTAGTTTATAACTGCGACTGCTTGTGAAATACGTCGTGTGAAAACCAGTTTATAAGAAAAATTTCTGGTCTGAAAGGGTCAATTGTAAAATGAAAAACAGCGCAGAACTTCAATATTACGTCTCTCAGCGAAATGAAGTTAGAGATGTTCAGGATTGCGACAACACTTTCTCGGCGATGCCAAATAGCAATCATAGAAAAATTTAAAGAGTATTTTTAGATATACACAGCCGATTATCTCGTTCTTGTTTTCTTTGTTTTAGAGTGAAAAGACATCCAGGCAGCTTCAGGTATGACGAAGTATTGGCTGAATGTGGCCCTTCTCAGGGTCATTCTACCAGTCATCTTAGCTGGATGTGAGTATCATTCACATAATTCCTTCTTTGTTCTGTTTCTTTTTACTTATATTTTATAATCAATAAATGGTTTATGAGTGTGTATAACTTTAAAATAGGAGCAAAAAGTAAATATAAAAAAATTATAAGATTAGTTCAATCTTGTAATTATTGTATTTGTTATTTATATTAGCTATATCAATTGATTTGATCATTTATTTTCGCAAAAAAGTATAATTATAAATATGTCAAGTATTATTATCGTAAAAGTTTCATTTTAAAATTAAAATTTTTTTTAATGTTATATATGACGTTTATTAAAGAAAACTTGCCGCGAATCTGTAAAGGAAACTAAATGCGAGTATTTACAAAGATAGTTTAGAACGGAATATCTATTATATCTATTATAATCGAATATCTATTATAATCATTGTCATAATAAAATAATAATTAATGATATCATACTTATAACAATCATAATTTATAATACATTAACTTCAGCTTCTTGATCGTCAGTTATAAAGCAACAAAACGAAGAAAACATGAAATGCCGATTTGTCACCATTCGTAACAGAATGACGCTAAAAAGAAGAATCACATCGAAAGAATCTTGAATTGATTGCCTAATCATACTTTGCATAATCATATTCAGTATTATGCTAATAAATAGCACAGGAAATATCGTTTTCTCCATAATATATAACTTTCTCTGATAATTGCGTATTTACTATTTATGTTTCGCGTATCATTTTATTTTTTTGATTTTTATGTACTTGATATTAACAATGTAACAACAATGTCTCTTAACATATAACTTTTTTTTAATGATTACATGATTACTATTTACACTTTGCATATTATTTTATTTTGTTCTTTATTATATGTTTTAAATATCTATCAATTTTTGATAAACAATTATATTAATTAAAATATTTTATCAAAATATCTATCTTTGAAAACTTATTTTAAAAGATTTTAATTAATCTTTTATTTTATTTACAAATAGAAAAGATAATTTTTATTTTATTTCTGTGACAAACAGGAAAGAATAAAAAATTTATCAGAAAGGTACATGATAAACTTATATAATTAATAAACTCAATTCTAACATAAAATTTTAATATTTATATTAATAGTTATATAACATAATTATACACATAAATTTTTAAGATTCATATTATATAAACAAGTAGATTAATTATATATTCGTTTCATATTGATCCATCTATTATCGAGGAATAATGGCGTCATTGTTTATCAGTGTGTTATCAAATCACCACATGTTAGGTCACTAAGTAGCAATACATTACTATTACCATTACTATTATTGTCTCTCTTTTATTTTCTATTATTGAATAATAAATTTTGCGAAGAAAAGTCCAATTAACTATAAATCTTATTAATTATTATCAATTATACTTTTTTACGAAATACTTTATGCAATATATTTTACCTATCCAAAAAAAAACAACAAAATGGATTGTTCGAAAAATATATAAATTGAATAATGTATATAGTAAATTAATTTAAATTAATTTAAATAGACAAATTTTTCTAAACATTTAAAATAATTTAATGTTAATGTATATACTTGTAACTCTTTTAATCGTTATAATAAGAAAATAATTAAAATGCATAATTATGTTTTTGCAATGTAAAATATATAAAAGCACAAAAAATAAATAGAACAGAAGTGTATTTCCGTAAAATTCACATGGATATACGTATCCAAGTTGCTCGAAGAAGATTCTAAAATTAGGAAGCAGGTGCTTGAACCCGGAGGAAAGCAAAATTTCTTAGCTTTGTTCAAATAAATATTCGACTTCAACATATTAAACCATACAAACATACAAAATGAGATTTAAATGTTCTATAATTATAAAAAAGAAAACATTCATATTTCACATAAGCTTGTTGAAATGAATTTTTTGTCAAATGTAAACACAATGTGTTTAATTTATTGCAATATTTTGTAAATTTTTTATTATTCTTTGAAGAAGAATACAAACAATAAATAATGTCAAACTTGCAATATAATAATTTAATCTGAGATATACAAAGATGTTATGTTATGGTTTTTATATATTATATCTTTTTACAAATAAATAATTTTAGTTAAATGTTACTTTTTACATAAACATTTAATGTATTATTAATGTAATAAAATTAATATATTTAGATATTACTTATTTTAAATAAGTAATATAGAAATTAGTCGAAGTATTAATATTTATATAAATCAAATTACGTATATGTAAAAAAGTTGAAATCTCGCAAATATAATAATTAACTCCTCTGTATGATTTTATATCTTATATAAAAGTTGTATAAAAAAATATTTCAAAAACATCAATGAATATTTCATTTTATTGCGTGCGATTTCTCTATTTTCGGACCACGTACAGTTTCGTGATGAGAAACCTTCCAGGCTAGGCTTGAATTATTGACTTTGAAAAAGAAATATGTAATAGTAGAAAATAATATGACTGTGAATAATGTTTTTTTGCTACGATTATTACTGCACATGTGGATCGTCCAATTTTTAAACGTAAATAATTAATGTTTTAATGCTTCCGAAATTTATTTCGAGAATTTCGTTAATATTGTTGCTATAAGATAGAAGATAATCAATCTATAAGTACAGTCCATATAAGTTTTTATATCGATTATTGATCTATAAAACAAATGTGAATACTGCATTAATATTTAAATTGAATATAATCTGTCAAAAATATGATAATATTAGAGACCGTAACAGTTATAAATTAAATATTAATACAAAAAAAGAAAGAAGAGTATATTATTGTCCGGAAAGTTCGTGCTGACTAACTTATATAATTTAATAAATGTATACTAAAATTTAAATTTTCTGCGTTTCAATTTTTCTTCAACTTCGGCACGAACTTCAAACTTCCGGACAACCCAATATATTAGTATGTGTACAAAAATACTTATTTAAAAAAAAGATAATTGTTAAAATAATTAGCAGAATCGTGCACATTTGACGAACTTCATTTGGCAGCGACACAATGTAGTTATTTATGTGTGTCGTGCAAATATAACACGTGCCGTGAATAAAATGACTAAGCTATTATAGAGGGGACTACTGAAAATGATACTATATTTTTGTATCAACATTTAAAAAGTTCAAATAACATAAATTCTCGTATATTATAAGATATCAAAATTAGCAGATAAATATATAGAAAGATATGTTAGTTTATAAAACGTTCGATGTAACGTCACGTTTCTGTGACGTGAAAGTAATTATCGACAGACTAATCTCCTGATTCGCATTAATTATTAGCACATATGTTTAAGTTATACACTGGGTATTTATTTAATAATAGCTTCGTTAAATGCATATTTCAGAAACTTTTCTGATCATATATCAACATAAACATTAAACATATTTACAAGAAACGAAATATTAAAATATCAAATTTTATTATATTTTATTATTATATTATATAGTAAACTTTGAAATTGAGAAAGTTCTTTAGAATGATGTTATGATTAGAATAAATGGATCAATAATAAAAAGCAAAGGTCTTGACGAATAACTAGAGGGATTAAAATGTCATTCTAAGATCCTCCCCTTATAAATGACCTTTTCACAAATGTAGAAATAACTATTACCGCAAGTTCATATACTTTATGTGCTGTTACACATTTCATCAAGGGAAGGTCCGTAGATAAAGCTTTTAAAACGAAAGTAGACTAAACCACTTTATGAGCAAAATAAGTAATTGGATTGATGTAATTTCTAACAAAAGCTCCATAAACATCTTTAATATTTTTGTTGAATAAAAAGTTTATTATCATTATTCTTATAATAAAAACATAATTGGTACTTTATATATCTTCTATACTTTTCCTTATATTTTTCAGATTTATCTAAATCTCTTTTTGAAGTCTTAAAATTTCTATAATTCTTTATAGAGGAGCTAAAAGTCTAAGATATTGAAATAAAAAAGTTATATTAAAATAAAAATGAATTACAAACGTCATAAAAATGGATTTTAATTTTATAGGTACGATATGGCGACCAACGGGATTGTCGATCGTTTACCTGGGACTAATGCTTTATTCTCCGATGGTCCCAATACCGACGCACAAAACCATAACAGGCCACACGGGAATATACTTAAAGACTTGTATTTGCCTAGCATTTCTTATAGTTATAGCTCAGATCACCTTTCACATTGTCCTTTTGTCACTACCGCCGTATGGATACTTTTTACAAAACTGTAAGCAATACTCTGACCTAAATATTACGTTACCTCTATAAAAATTGGAAATTATTCTTAAAAATACCCTTACATAATATTTTTGGACATGATTAAATATAATATGGGATTCAAAACAAAATTTAAAAGAATATTTGAAAATCATAGAATTTTTAATTAGAAGTTATTTTAACTCTAAACACAAATAAACAATATATTTTTAGGCGAATTTTTGGAGAAGCTCTTCAGACACATAGGCTTTGTCAGATTAGATAGTGCATCTGTATGGGAAGTATTTTACTGGTTGGCGCCGGAATTTATAGTTTTACCTACCGTACTTGTTGTATATTTTATATGTCGTTTCCTTACGCAAAGACGTGCTAGCATTGAAGAGGATGAAACTGCTCTTCATCAAGAAAATAATTTGCAACGAAAAAAAATAGAGGATAGTTCCACAAAGGTAATTATATTTTCGTATTATTGTAAAAAATTCAGTAAAAAATAAAAATGTCTGCAATTTAATATAATATAAATATTTAATATAAATATGTATAAAATGCCATTTATGACAAAATCACAATCTACGATTTAAATTCACTCTAATATAAATTACGTATCCAAGTATTTTACGCAAAAATTGATATCTTATCAAAGATAATTCTCACGTTTACAATTTAGATAATTAATTTCTTGGGAAGTATCGGTATCTATGTTGTATTGGCGTCATTATGCTGTGTCGCGGCCTTGAAGCCATCGATAGAGGCGGCCTTCTATTTCCTGGTGTTTCTCGGCGCTGCTACATGCTGGGCATGCAACAAAGAACTGCGAAAGGGATTTTCCGTGATCTGCAGGATCATCATGATCATCGTGATTGTTCACATCGTTATATTACTCGCCTACCAGAACGAATGGCTGCAAGAAATTGTTCCTGTATCTAGTGCCTGGTCGCGTTACTTGGCTCTGGCTGCAGTTTATCACACCAATTGTAGCGATCCGAGAAATGTGGAATATACAGATAATGCCGATTGGTTGATTTACGGATACGCTTTGAGATTGTTCTGGCTCTACTATATCCTCGCATTGCAGTCGCAATTTCTCAGTAGAAAACCGGTGAGTTTAAATATTTATTAATTAATGTAAATAATTTTAATATATAAAAATTTAGAAATTATAAATTTATTATAATTAATTATTTAAAAAACTAGAATAGCATATGTAAAGATATTGCTAGATAATATTAGAGATTAGTATTCTTAACATATATATTTCATTACCTATAGAATTTCTAGTGCCAAATTTTTAATTACATTAGAATTATTTTAATTGCTATATTATTAATGTGTGCAATCGTATTATTTTTATATTGAAAGAAACTTGGGTACAAATAATTTCTGTAGAACAAACACTCTGTCGCATATTATCTAAACTAAAAATTTGGTGTAATAATTAATGAAGTACAATAGCTATGGAATTCAATATATAGTCTACATGATATATCAAATATTATTAGAAATAGTATATTGGTACTTCTTCTACCAAAGCTTCTTTTAAAACTTGGAGGCTTTTCCCAAGCTATACATGCTATCTATCCATTGCATAGAGCGTAATTAACTCATTTGTGGATGAGAAGTAATTATTAACATTATCACTACAAATAACAGCCGATAGCCTAACAAGACCTTTGAACTAATTTAATGTATCTGGAATCGTTGGTATAAGATTAAGGCTAAGTTGTTCTACCTTTCGATAAACTTCACTTTCTTACTTTTTACTCTTTTATTCCCTTACTCTTTTATTCTTTCGTTTATCCAATCGATAAATTATCATATAGTTTATTTGAAGATGGAACAATCGATCTCAGGCTTATTAAATGAACCACAAAAATAGAATCGTCAGCTATTGAATTAGTCGTACTTTTTTCGTAAAAAATAATATCTTATTTTATCGGTATGTGATAATTTACTATAAATGTATTATTATTTGTTATTATACATTTAAACATTATATAGTTCTGAAGGAAATTCTATTGATATCTTGAAAATTTTATTAGTTTCTTAGTTTTAAATTTAATATCAATTTTGGCAATTCTGTCGATTTTTTATTTGTGGAAAATTTTGAAAGTATGTTGCTTGTACTAACAAGGCATTACAGGCGAAAGAAGCAAAACGATTAAGTGGCAGACTGGAAAATCTGGACACTCCATTGTCCAGGCATGTGTCCCTCAGGCGCAGGACACCTTCCCAAAGATGGCAATCAGCTCGTCGTAAGGCTCGTGTAAGGACTCGTTCCATGAGAGCCGATTCAATATATAATTAATATTTTTTAATATTTATAATCATGCAACATCGCCTTTGTCCTCAGCTGCTTTTTATTTCAGATTCTTGTTTTGCTGATATGTATCATATTGGATGCCAAAAGTCTACATAAAATTTTTTATACAAAACTTATTTCTAAATGTTGTACTGGCTATAAACATTTATAGTTGTGCAGTTTAGAAAAATTTCTCTAAACTTTTTAATCAGTTTAATTTTCAAATATATTATTTGTATATTTTCAATATATGTTGCATTTTACTGTATTTATTTTGTACAATATATTTATATTTTTGTTATATTACAACATTTTTAGTTTAAGGTTAAAATTATCATTAAAATTTTCAAAATTTTGATTCAGCTTTCTAGTTTTCTAATTTCTCATAATATTATATTTACGGTTGTTTAATCTTTTATACTTTTAGTATATTTTTGTAATTATTTGTTGTAGTGTTTGTTGTAGTATCTTTTTTCAATTTCCTCCAATATTATTCTTGTTAATTTGGTTAGATTGATAAACTTTATTTAGATATTCTTCTTAAGGAGAAGAATTCTTCTTTGTTTGAAGTACTGTTTTTATGGATTTAAAATTACTTTACAAGCATATTCTTAAAAATATAAACATAAAAAAACTGTAAAAAATAAGATTTTTTGATCAGTCAAACTAAAGTATCTCCTTAAACTATATAAAATGTAATCAACAATCATTATAATTAGTCAATTTTAATATTGATTATAAGAGCTATTAGCATTATTATTTATGTAGCTTTATGCATTAGTATAATCTCTGTTTAATATGTTCTCTCTGAAAATTAATCTTTTGTAAAAAATTGTTTCGCCTATTTTTAAATACTTTCTATGTTTTCTTATTTGCTATCGCCTTCCAGATGTGCAGTTGTTGTTTAATGCTGAACAAAACCATTTTCCGTTTGGATGCTGCTATGTTTAGTTTGCCATTGTTTTAGAAGCTGGTCGTAGATTCGCCGTTGGCAACAATCGACGAGCGAACACCTGTACGTATACCAATTGAATATGCATGATTAATTAATTACTTATCAACAATGTACTTCACAATTTTGCATGTGACAAATTTTTAAGCAATCCAAGATTCTCTATTCAAGCAGATAACCTGGCGTGCAGTTGCAATTAACTTCGCACATAATTTTCACATACCCAAATAATTAATCAAATTTTAGCTAACATTAATAAATTGGTGAAGGTAAACGCATGTTTCATACATTTTGCATGAAGGTTGTTATTGTCATAGGAAACTTGGAGAATATTGATTTAATATAATCTGAGAAATGTAGTAAATAGAAAGTTTGGTAAAATGAAATTATTTATAAAATAAATTATAAACTTACTATTAAAAATATTTGAAAAGTAAAATATTTGATTTATTGTATAGCTGATGCGATTTGGATCTGGAAGAACGGGCCTTCTTCAGGACTCCACTACCGGAAGTATCATTGTGAATCAGGATGGTCAACAAGATGATAACATACAAATGCAAAGTCTCAGTGAAGGTAAATGTATGGTTTTATCAAAAAAAAAAGCAACTGAATAAAGTGGATAATTAAATGACTTTTTCAAAAATTAGGAACACCTGATGAAATATCAGGCGTCATTGAACAAATAATCATGGCAGTGTATTCTATCTTCCAATTAATAGTAAATTCATCATATCTTGCTACAAATATAATAATGATGGTGAGTATCATAAAATAAAAATGGCAAGTAAAAATATTCTAAACAATCGATTATTTTTTTAAAATTCTCTTTCAGACGTGGAGCATAATGTATCACAGCTGGACAACATTCGTTCTCCTTTTATGGGCGCTAATTCTGTGGATGGTTCCCAATAAACGTGCTTCAATGATGAAATGCTCTCCTTTCATCGTGTTCTATGCAACTCTCTTACTTCTCGGACAATACGTATACAGTATGGATCTGACAGATGAAGAATTGCCAAGAGTAGTAAGCGGCGTAAAAATTTCTGAAATTGGTTTCAGCAAAGCTGACGAACTCGGCCGTTGGCATCTTATAGTTAAAGTACGCATTAATATCTTCCTTAAATAAGAAAATCTAAATTTATTTATAAGTAAAAACTTATTTTACAAGCTGTATTGTATACGTTAAAATAATGTAATTTATTTATTTACAGTGTTTATTTATATCAATGTTCTGGATCACTATGAGACAGTATATGACAGAACGAAAGCAACAGCGACGATCATCTGCTCTGAGGGATATGGTAGCGCCTTTACACATATCTGTCTCAACGGCTACAACCGTTATAAATCATCAGGAGGCACCAGAAATCAAGAGCAAATTTATGAAAGATGTTGGAAAACTATTGCAAGATCTACTAACAAGATTTTGGATTGCTGTGGTAGCAATCATGCTGTTCATCTGCGGCATTACGGGCGAGCGTATGACCATGTTCAGAATCGTTTACATGTCGCTATTTCTCATTTTTGTTATCACATTCCAGGTGTTATATTTAAATTCTGAACATATATCTATTCGAAATTTATCAATAGAAATATATTATTAAATCGTGGAATTTTAGATATCATGGACAGCATGGAGAAAAATGATGTATGTATTTTGGGTGACTGTCATTGGATATTCGATCGTCATGCTGATTCTCGTTTACACTTACCAATTTCAAAACTTTCCGAAATATTGGGAGTATCTTGGTATAGATCAAGATTTGTAAGTAATTGTGAAATTATTATCTCATTTATTAAACATTTTGATTTTCCATCAAATATATATATAAAAAATCATCCCATATCGTAAACAAAGAATGCCATGATATCATTATGAGTTGATAAATACGTTTATTTTCTTTTCCTTTTATTCCAGACAAATGGACATTGGATTAGAGACCTACGAGATCAAAGATTTGTTTGTGAGATTACTAACGCCAACGTTTTTCGTCATCATTACAGTACTTCAGATTCATTATTTCCATAAGGATTTTCTTGAAGTCACAAATATTGATAGATTAGGGTTCGTAAAAAAATGATATTAATTATATAATAACTGCCATTTAAAAATACCTTTTTATTAATTTTAGGCCCGAAAGCTCATTTAGACGAGCTAGTCTAGGATATTCTCCCAGCTTAAATATTCCAGAATCTTCACCAACTGAAGTTACACTCACCGAAGATGAGAAACATACGATATACACACTGAAGCAATTAAAACGTATGCTCTTTATTAATTTTGTTTACTATTTTAGTAAACATTATTGTTTTATCAAAATATTATTATTAATAAATGTTTTTGGGAATATAATTACAGATATGTCAAAATTAGAAAGAAAAGCGCTATTACACAACATGAAAAACCATCTTGTAAATTTTTATAATTACACCTGGCTGTTCCTCGAAATACACATGCAAAAAATAGTTTTTATTTCATTTGTTCTTCTATGCATCAATGACGTAAGTGGAATTATTATAATCAACGCATACTTTTTAAAACTGAAGAATAAAATTAACTAAACAATTAAATAACATATTTATCTTTGTTTTAGGTATGCGCAATAAATTTCTTTTTCATCGTCGCCATAGTTATAATGATCAATTTTAGAAGAAATATACAGATAAATTCAATTAATGCAATGGCCGCGATAGTATCGCTTCTAATGGTTACCAAGATGTTGTATCAAATTAAATATATTAATCATGATAACTGGAATGTCAACTGCACTGTAAATTAAAATTTATTGTGTTAAAATATATTTTCTTTTAAGTTCGATTAAATATATTACTTTAATTAATTTCAGAGATCCGTCGATGAAGACCATCAGCAATATGCAAATAACAATCAAACCGTCTACAACATAGCCGAATGGTTTGGAATGAAAAAAGCAGGTCCGGGTATGCTTCCAGATCTGTTGAAAGGTTACATTGGCATTGTTACTGTGACGACTTTCAGGAAAATGATTAGAATTCGACAATGGTTTTATCGACATAATAAAGGAGAATCATTGGATACTCCTCAAGTAATGTTCCCAACCATTACAAGGATGGACGCTGACAAAGGATTACCAGAGTGTTTAAAGTTTCTCTTCAACTACGGTTTTTACAAATTTGGTCTCGAAATATGCCTTATTGGGATTGTTACGCTGATTGGCACCAGACTAGATTTTTATTCCGTTTTGTACAGCATATGGTTGCTACTATTTTTTTCATTGAAAAGGAAGGTTGTCGCACGAATTTGGCCCTGTTTTAGAACTTTTGCCATAATTCTCCTACCTATCCAATACGCCATTGTTGTGGCTCCACCTTCGTGGCTTTGTATAGGTAATACATTAGGAATAATACATTAAGAAAAAATTAATTCTTTTAATTAATTAATTATATAAAGCAAATGATAAACAATTCTTTTTGAATTTATTCCAGATTATCCTTGGAACAATTCTGAAATAATGAGAAGATTGCAGGAATGGATGTATCTTCCTGATCCAGATTTCCCTCCGAATTCCAGAAAACTTATTTGTAAGTTTAATACAATTTAAAATTAAAGAAAGATTTTTTGCATTTTATTTTGTACGCAGGTGATTTTATCTTACTAATGATGATCGTGCGGCAAAGTTTAGTCTTCCACATTGAGCAACAATATTTGCAGCCTGACAAGGATTTTGTGGCTGGACACAATTATTCTGTTTTCCAAGACATGGAAAAACCAAATTTTGTAAATCCTGTAAAAGATTATGTGTCGCACATTCATTCATGGCTGGATATAATTAAACGTGGTAGCATGATGAGTCTCATGTGGGTGACCTTATCGATTATGTTTTTGGCTGGAACAAAAAGAACGAATCTCTTTTCGCTCGGCTATCTTTTAGGAGCATTTATATTCCTTTGGCAAGGAAGCAATTTTTACTTAAGACCAATGAGAACTATTTTAAAATGGTGGAACATACTGATCGGATATAGTGTTATTGTAATTTTCTCAAAGGCTCTTCTTCAAGGTGTGGGTTGCGTCCTCATTAAAGACGTAAGCTCTCTCTTTTTTTAATTTATTATTTCTAAAATTATTACAATTATTATTTATTGCAATTTTATTTTGTCATAAATACTATTTCTTTAAATAAAATAAAAAAATTTTGTCTATTATTGAATTTTATTTGGAATAATTGTATGAAAATATAATTCAGAAATTTCAAACTAAATAAACATGCAATACGTTACAATTATAGAAAGATAAAAAAGATGTAAAAATTATTATTATTTTAATACTAGCTCGAAATATCAGCCTGTTGGCTTGTGCAATTACTGGGTATCGCATGCTTGAAAAAGTTCAAGAGTTCCAGCGAGATAGCAATGGATTCCAAGTGTACTGTCACTAGAGAAGATATCGGCATGGTTTGGGACGGATTATGTTTTGCCTTTCTTTTGATACAAAAACGATTGTTCAAGAGCTATTACTTCTTCCATATAGTAGATGAGACAAAAGCCATGAGCATTTTAGCATCTCGCGGTGCAGAATTGTTTGAAGAACTGCATCAAAAACGTATAGAAATTCAAGAAAATGTGGAAAAGACTGTTTTAGAAAAATTAAAGTTCAAGATGGACAAGATTAAAGCTAATCAGCAGAAAATACAGGGACCATCTTATAAAGAACCTCAGGCTCACAAAGTCGGTAAGCTATTTTTTTAATGCATGCTATAATTTTATATAACATTTAAAGGAAAAATGTCATTTTATTGAAGCAATCCTGAAAAAAAATTTGAATTTTGTCATTTAATAGATAAAAAGTAATAATCGTAAAGTTTTATTTAACAATAGGTCATGAAGTATTTTTATTTATAGGCACCGAATAAATACTATTTTTCTTTTTAATTTCTGATTTGTATTTTTATAATTACTAAATATTTTTACAAATTATTCTTGATAATTTGCCTTCTCGATGTCTCCGTTTTCATTGTCCCATTACCCACTTACTACATGTAGTATAACATCCAATATATCTTTAATGCGTCAAAAAAGAGAGACAAGCACCACTGGCAAGATCTTCTAGCGTGAGCTCTTGCGTGTCCTCGGGTCATACACCCCCACAAGGATATCAAACACCTTTGGATGAAGACGACGACGAACCACCTCCTTTGACTCCACGGGCAGCGTCCTTATTGCAAGCACCCACGCCGAATTCTGCCATCATGACAGTCAGTCTCGAGGGTTACCTCGAGCCGACACGTATTTCATTTGGTTCGCCACCCAGTAGCGAGCTAAATCCTCGAGGACCGTCACCAGACGAGACATTCCCAGTGTTCTCGCCCCCGCCTTATGATCGAGGTTTAGCCGATCGATCACTAACATCTTCTATGAGACATCGGCGTCAATCCAGCTTACTAGTTGGGCCGACGTGGATAAACATTGATCCGCGCCAGTCGATCATCTCGACGGCCTCCCGTTCCCCGCGCTCACATCATACGTGTAAATCACTTATCGGCAATATCTGCATAGCCAGTGCTACAGTGACCTGTACATATGCTTTTTAATGTCTGCACATCTAGATCTTCCGTAAAACACTTGAAGCAGTGTCTATAATGTTCTTCAGGTCTTATTAGAAGCGACTTCTAAATCTGTTTTTTGATAATGAAATATATCATACAATAAAATATATTGAGCTAAGAACTAGCTCAAAATTATCTTTGTATAGAAATGCTTATATTTGCAGGTTTGCTTATCTGTGCTATCTATTTCTATGAAAAATCGAATTAAATAATACTTCATATTTTTCTATTTCCTTAATTTATTTTATGTTATTTCTTTTTCGTCTTTTCGCAATTACATTGCATTATTTTTTAAATACTTCTTTTATCTTCATTCATCACTATATCTGTTATCATTTTATAATTCTTTCTTTAATCTTATAAAATCTTATATGCATTTAATGCATAAAAATTCAGAAATCCAGAAATTTTACAAACAACAGAGAATTGCTTTTATATTTGTTGAGGGGTTATTCTCAGCAATCCAATCAACAATGGAATCAAAGGAATCTAATTCTGATGTAACATATATGTGGCATATTATAATATATTATGTGTTGTATCACAATATAGCTGTATAGATTTTTATTTTCCATATCTTTATTTTATTTCTTGTGTCTTTCTGTTAGATGAACTCTATCCAAGAACACGGCCATTGTACAAAATTCGTTCACCGCAGACCAACAGAGAGGGTAATTGTACATTTTTTTTACAGCTGAGCATTATCCTAACAACTGTAATGTCACAGTCCCGGATTAATTTTATAATTTCATTTGTATATAAAATGTACAGTTTAATCTAAAGGACAATTTAATGTACAGTTTAAAGTAGCCGATGATGTTTTAAAATTATATATGTATAGTTGATCTATTGGCATTTTTGTGTATATTTGTTTATTTTTATTTAATAGAGATACTATAATTACATCAAAATTAGAATATAATATTCACAAATTATGCTCAAATGTCCTTGCACTTTTTTTTAATTATATAATGGTCACTTATATATGCATGGCTTTTGCTTATGAAATAATGTAATGAAAGTAATGACTTATTAATAACTGTAATTCTTTTTTACAATTAGCAATCAGATCAGGCGATTATTACATGTTTGACGATCTGGATGATGATGACGTTACTGATCTTGTTCCTGATAGCGATATTGAAAAGAAGGAAAAAGAACGCCGTCGTGAACAAGAACGAAAAGGAAGGAGAATGACTGTTTCAGAGGTAAATAAAATTATAAGAAATATGTATCACGTCAAAATCATTTTGTTTTCTTCAGGGATGAATTTTCGGTATGAACTTGAATGACTGATGTTGTAAAATATCGATTCACAAACAAGGATTTTTGTTAAGATTCACTAATCTATCAATTAAGATGTTATGGTCCATCGAATTGCTTGGAAACATTTCAAATACATATCATAAAATTTCAACATTATATATATTTACTATTAAAAGTAAAATATTTATTGTATTTGTAAGAAAAATTGTGTATATATTATATGTATCTATCACAATATATATATATTGATACTATAATAAATTTACTAAAAAAAAAAAATATTTTGAAATTTTTCTAAAAAAGTATTTCGAATAGACCATTATAAAATCGAATGGTGCATCTCTTTCTCTGTGATAATTGTAACCAAAAGTTCTTCGTATGTGTTATCAATTCCCTTTATCTTTCTTTTGCTCTGAATCTATGCATTGGTAGCACCCTTTTTTCTTTTTCTCTCTCCTCCTCGAGGAGGGATCCTGCAATACATCCGGGCCAACGATGGCACGAAATCGATCGATGGAACTGACGCGTAAGTCTCCTTACAGTTGATGAACACGCTGATTAAGACAGACATTGAGATCGCGACGCATGTCGCCATGTACGGAGGAACAGAAAAGGACGCCCTGAAACTCCGACGTAGAAGTGTACCTTTGACACGGAAGAAATCATCCATGTCCTATTTAAGCGCTCGCTCTGAGACCGACACTGCCATGGCCACCGATGTGAGACATCCCGATTCCCAGTAAAAGGCTGCATGACCGCTACAGGCTTGTCTGCCTATAACTGTCACTTTTTACTCTTATATTTAATACTGTCTTTAAGGCCGAATTGTCGATGACAGATCTCACCGTTGGTGCATTATGCGGTTGATTCTTTTTTATAGGAGATCTAAATCCACATCTTATACAAAACACCTAGCAAGTAAAGTCATATTAATACATTTTTTAAAGTCACTTTAAAAAAATTTATATTAATTTTACATTTATTTCGACAAACGCTGAAATACTTCTTTTTGTTTTTGTTAAATCTCTGAAAAAATTTAACAATAGATTGTCTCCTAAATAAGATTCAACTATTGGCTATTAGCTTTCTATGGATCGTTTTGTACTACTTTTGTGCTAGTATATTCTTCTTGTACCGTTGTATTATTGCTTTATCGTTCGTCTGCGCGATAAAGCAATCTGTTCTACTTATGTATATCTCGATTTTATTATATGCAATTAATTTTACTTTTTACACATTATATTAATTTGCTGTGATTTATTTTTATTAACAATAACATTTCTATTTTTCTTTTTAATATTAATATCTTATTCCAAATCTGTTTAAGGCAGTTTGTAAGATATTCTTAATTCAGTTTAATTTGTATTTTAATCAAAAAACTTTTCGCTATATTTTTATTTATTGTTCTTTAATTTAATATAAATTAACACAATAACAAATAATACAAAGCAATCACAGCAACGAATTCTATATGGCAAGTGGATTATTCTTTTATATTTGCATACGCAACGCTTTTAGTGCTCGATGATATCTTCTTCTCTTATAAACTCTCAGCTTAGAAGATATTGGATACAAAGTTTTACTATTGTTTTTATTGTCTTCACATCGTTTAACACATTGTACTTATTTTTTATTAATTTATATGTGTTATAATCATAGAATGATGGCAAGGTATTTCGTCACTTATACACACATGTATATTTTATATGAAAACTTATTTCATATTTTCTACATGTAATCTTTGTAATCACTTGTAATGCTTATTGTACGCTTATTGTACAGTAAGAGTAAGTATAAAATAAATATTAAGTAATTGAAATATTAAGTAATTGAAAATATAAATCTTAATTATGATAAAATCCTATTAGGGATAATTATTTCATTCAAAGTTAAGATTTTTGCAACTCAAGTCAATTATTAGATAAAATATTTGAACTTAACAGTATTTAAAAATTGCTTTATTTCGTTTAAAATTTTTATAGAAATACGACAATTATTCACACTATGTGATACACTTTAAATGCACTTATGCATTTTTCTTAGCAGACTTAATTAATTTCAAGCACACGATCACAATTTAAGCATAAAGTAATATTTTCCAATATATAAAATTTATGTAAAATTATTTAGGGTCCCGATCGAACGAGTCTCACTTCAGTAGAGATGGAAACGGAAGAAAAAGAAACAGACTTGGCCAAAACACCAGAACCATCAGATATAGAAGAAGAGAAAATAGAAGATAAGGAGAGCGACAAAAAAGAAGAAGAACAGAAGAAAGTCTCATTCTTTACGTACTTCAAGTTTCTCTTGGTGATGATTAACAGCACTCTAACTTCAATGACAAAATATCTAAATCGTTTCTCCTACGACTACAGATATATTCGCAGGGTTTTAGCGAAGGAAAAAAAGATTCTAAAAGTATATATAAATTATTATTTTTAAAAATTGAAGTTAATTTATAAATAAAAAAACATACTGTAATATTTTTTTAATATTTGATGATTATATTTAGGCGAAACCAGATTTTAGAATGGGAATGCGATTAGGAATTAATCAAATGTGGCAGCCTCTGATACAAGAACGGTAAGGATTTGCTTTCTATAAAAACTTTTATATAGTCATAACACTAAAATAAAACATATTATGTTTATTTAATAAAATTGAAAGACTATATGTATATTTATTACTATTTAAAAAATTTTGGAATTCTCTTTTTCAGGAAAATTTATATTGTTAATTATTTAGTTAAAATTAAATATTAGGAGTAATAAAATTATATATTAGGAGTATTATTCAATTTTTTGTGCTATTCTGGCTTTTCACATTAACTTGTAAATATAATATTGTAGTTGCTTAAATTATTTTTATTTTGTATTGCTGCTATTTTTGGGTATATGTTTTGTTCAAACATCTTTTATAAGATGCTGATTTCTTATGTAAATACATTGTGCAACATAATTTTTTTACTTTAATTTTTTATATTTTTTATATTTTTTATATTTTTTATAAATGCTTTACTGCATATGTTTAAAATATCTATAAATCTAACTATTAGATAATTTAATATTTGTTTTTATAGCTATGTAACATTATTTAAAAATGCAGTAAAGAATTACATTTTTGTTATTCAATGTTGCAAAGCATACTTCAAAATAGTTGGCGTCAAAAATATAATTATAACTTATGCTTTTTCGATATATCCCATGAATAATAAATCTTTAAGAAATCTGAAATATAACTTTTAAAGAATATGTGTAAGTATAAAAAATAGTTTTAGCAGTTTCTAAACTTGAAACTAAAATGAAAATACGTAGATGTTAGTAGTAAATGTGCTCGCTGTAACAGATCAGCTACAAATGGCAATATGGAGGAACAGTATGATCCTGGAGAAGGTCCGAGTCAATCGCAACCGCAAGATGATAGGTAAGGGCTTTTATTTTGTGTAAATTGCTTTGATAGATATTTTATAAATGTATCATGTGTTTAATTTATTGTGCACTTAGCAAAAGTGATTCTTGTACATTTATTACACCAAACTAATGTCGAATTTCTATAACAATTATTTATATTGTAATTTATGGAAATTACAGTTAACTTTTTATTAAGAGAAAATAATTGTTTTTGCTTTTCAAATCTTTTTATTATTTATAATATTAATTAAATAATATAGAGAATATATACAAGTTTATTTTTATTTTAAGTCTAATAAGAAAAAAAGAAATATCTATATAACTTGAAATAAAATTCAATTTTATATTTTACTATTTCTTAAATTATGAACCTTTTGTTTATAATAAAAATAAAATTTTCAAATTTGTTTAATAAAATCCAACAAGATTAGAACAAAAAATTTTGTATTATATTCGATATGTATGAATTTGATATTGTATGAACTTGATCAAGTATTAATCTATGAAAAGATTTGAGCCTTGTTGGTAAAAAAAAAATTAGGTAATTGAGGAAAATAAAGGTCCTTCGAAATAACAGCATAAGTTATTTGCGTGACATAAAAATTGTTTCACGATTGAGGGATCAGATCAATTGCCGTAAGTTTTATCGTGACATATCTATTATAAAAACATATCTATTATGAAAAAACAACAAATTTTTCAATTATAGCTAGATCACTTAATATTCTATTATAATGTATCTTTTTCAATATTTTTAAATAATTTGTTATTAATATATATATTAATTATTAATATATATTAATTATTAATATATATATTTGTTGTTGTTTAATATAATTTTTCTCCCAAATTTATCTCTTACCTTTTTTTATTATTGTATCTTTTTTCTTCGTGAATAGTAAAATTAATAATATAATGTTTTAAAATTATGATTAAAATTCTTTACTCTCGTAACATATTTATACGAAGTAAACGTAGAAAGAGTGGTGTTGTTTGTGTCAGGAAGAGGAGCTCGCTGGCAGTGCCACACATCCGAATTCTGGCGCCGAGTTTGGAGCGAGGATTGGACATGTCCTCCTCCAGGTATCAAAAATGTGTCGTGAAACTCAAGCATCTCAATGTGCTTGATCTTTTTATAAATGCACTATTCGCACGCCTCTCCTCGCATGCGGCACGTCAGATAAGATCCTTTTACATCTAATAATTGACTGCCACCTCTACTTCGTTTTGTGGCAAAAAGGATCGCTTCCTGACACGAAAAGAACAAAAAAATTGACTTGCGCGACTTGCGTGTCTCTTTGATTATTGTATACAGTGAATGACGAAAACGAATAACGTTCACTGTAGCAAATACATTAATATTGTCGAATGTCTTTAGTTTCATTTTCAGGTTTTATGGTTCAGATTTCACAGTTCCTGAACTGGGCTTTAAATGTGCTTTTGATATCAATTTATCTGAAAAGAAAGATGCATCTCTGTTCTTTATTACTATTCAGTTTTGATATCTAAAATTATTCCTTTGTGTGTATACAGAAATTACTTCTCTAAATTTTTCTATTTAAGTAACAATTTTGTATATTTATATCTATTTTTATTTTATATATGTGAATTTTTATACTTTAAATAATTTTTATTTATTACGTATATATATTTAACACAGCTAGAGCATCTTTCTTCTATATAAATTTATGTTGAATAGTTTATTTTAACTACAAAATTAATAATTAACTTGAAGATTTTATGTAAGCAGCACACTTTTCTCGCAAGCCTTGGCAGTCGAACAAGAAGAAGAAATTGGAGAACTTTCAGAAGTGGATCAACCTCCCATCGTACAATTGGCAGCGTCTATCTGGTTTGGAATTTTGGCGCATTCTAGTATACTTTGTTATTTTATGGTGTTTATACATCAAATTAAGAATGCGTCAGTACTCTCGACACCATTGCCACTTATGATATTCTTATGGGGTTCTTTAACAATCCCACGACCCTCAAAAACATTCTGGATAACAATGATCGCATATGTCGAGGTAAAAAATATATTTCATAATTTATTCCTAAATATATACATATATAGAATATAGAATCTCGATGGAAATATTCCAATTTTTAGGCCATTGTCATAATAAAATGTATTTTCCAACTGGAATTGATTCCTTGGAATCAAAAGGCTCCAATAAGCCATCCATTATACGAACCGAGGATTATTGGTGTTTTAAAAGATTCTAATTATGCTCTATGGGATTTATTATTGCTTCTTATGCTATTCTTTCATAGGTACAAATAAAAAAAAAACAATAATAATAACGCATATAACAATATTTTATAAAGTATAATGCTTATGATTGGTCTACAGACTTATGCTAAAATCCTTGGGTCAATGGACAGCTGCATCTCCACGAAAAATAATTCCTTCTCAGTTACCTGTAGTGCAGGCAAAACCATTATTTTCAGACAAAGAACAAGAAGAACTAATCATACAACAAGAAACCGAGTACGTTAGAATTTTTCGAAACAATGTCTAAAAATTTGTATTCTAAAATTTTGGTGTCAATAAATGTATGACACTTATTTTTTAATATGTTGTAGTTCTCACGAAGAAGCAAAAGAATCTCAAAAACAATCAAACGACTATGTATTAAATGATAATGTTCCATCCGTAACAGAGAACAAAAAGCTTATAGCTACGCAAGAAGATCCTCACAGTAAAGTGTTTTCTAAAACGATGAATACAGCGTAAGTAATTATTTTATTTAAACATGCTTTATGCAAGTCTTATTAATTTGCTTAGTTAAATTATTATTGTTATATTATTGTTAAATTTTGCAGAGTTACTAAACACGTTAAACCAATAAAAAATTTCTTTAAGAGAATTATTGATTCAACTGGTAAAGAAAAAACGAATGTTTATGCCTACATGTTCCTTTGTGATTTCTTTAATTTTCTTCTACTTATTTTCGGATTTTCTGCATTTGGAGTAAGTATATAAGAAGAAAGAGAAAGTGACTCAATGAAATTATTATTAATATTTATATAAATATTATTTATTTACATAAAGAATGATTACACATTAATATTATATATATATTATATATATATTCTATAATTTTAGACTCAGCAAGGCGATGGCGGTGTAGCGGCTTATTTGGAAGAAAATCGAGTTCCTATGCCTTTCCTATTAATGTTATTATTACAATTTGCTCTAATTGTTATCGATAGAGCTCTTTTCCTAAAAAAATCTATTCTGGGAAAATTAATCTTCCAGTATTGCTTAGTACTTGGTGTTCACCTATGGATGTTCTTCATTTTACCGAGCGTGACAGAAAGGTAAGATATCGTACATTATTTTTCATTTTTGACATTTATGTATCATGTATAATATATATTTATAATTACAGACAATTTAATGATAAACTTCCGCCACAAATCTGGTATATGATGAAATGTTTCTATCTTTTACTAGCAGCTTATCAATTACGACAAGGATATCCGACTCGAATATTGGGTAATTTCCTATGCAAGAAGTACAGCATTGTGAATTATACCCTGTTTAAAGGGTTAGTGAAATGTTTATTAAATTTTTTTTATTATTTTTATTATTTTATTATTATATTGTACCTAAGTAAGTTATTTTGTAGATTTATGTTAGTCCCATTCCTTTTTGAACTTCGGGCAGTGATGGATTGGATTTGGACTGACACATCCATGACTATAATGGATTGGTTTAAGATGGAAGATGTCTTTGCTAGTATTTATCAAATCAAAGTGAGTTTTATAGGAAATAATATTTTTATAAATAATATTTTGGAATAATTTTTTTCAATTCTCTTAAAATTTTTTTTATTTAAAATTTTCATATAAATTTTATATGAGAAGATATGTTTTTGAATTGACTTATTTTAGCATAGAAATATTAAATTACACAACATGCGCCAAATAGGTAATACATAAAAATTGTATAAGTATATTATTTTATAAAATTCTAGTGTATGCGAGGAGTCGAATCAGATTACCCTCAACCACGAGGAGTAAAGAAAAAACAAATGAGCAAGTATTTGGTAGGCGGAAGTGTTCTTTTACTCATTATTGGCTTAATCTGGTTCCCTTTGCTTCTTTTTGCCCTCGGTAGTACCGTTGGCGTGTCCAATTTACCTTATGATGTATCCATGAAAATACGAATCGGTCCATACGAACCCATCTATTCCATGTCAGCACAAGGCAGTTCTATCATCGAATATACGGAAACGGATTACAAAACTCTTACAAATTTACAAATATATTCGACAGAGAAGTCAGCTGTTACTTTCTTTGAAAATTACATCCATTCTGATGTGGCTGCAGTAAAATTTGGCAATTCCTCAGGAACACTTTGGGGCATTTCCCCACCTGACAAAAAAAGGTAATTTATGAAAAAGATTATTACACTTAAAATCTGAAAAATCTGAAAATATATATAATTGATACATGCATATTGGTATAACTGATAAAATATAACTAATATATATAACTAACAAAACTTGATTGTTTAATAAAAAAGCATCATACAGATATTATTCTTCTGAAAAAGAATTTAAAATATCAGAGGTATAAGAGTGTCATGTTACAGAAATATATTAAAAACAAATATTTATTATATTATCATCTTTTTCAGATTGATAGAAGAACTGATCTCTAATACTACAACAATAAGTATACATGTGGAATGGGCAGTTTCAAGAAAAACAGATATCAAAGATGCTAGTGGAATCACTGTAACAGATCATAATATAACATTGCCAGCGTACGTAAACGGAGAGTTCAATCCTGTAAGACAAACATTAGTGGACATGTTAAGTAAGGATCCTGGTGCAACAAATGCAACAGTAATATTGCAAAATGCCTTTCCGAAATTTTTGAAAGTCACTGCTAGATCCATCAGTGTTGTTACACAATTAATGGAACCGCTACGTTTACGTAAGCATAATTAGAACGTTATTAAACAACATATAAAAAAGATAAGAATTATAGAAAGATAAAATAATATTATTTATATTTATATATATGTTTCTAGTACTAGGTCAATCTGACACAGATAACAGGTACCTTTACAGAAATATGAGTATCCGATTATCAACGGACATGACATGTTGTGATCATAAACAATGGTGGATAGTTCGTGAAGTATGTACAGGCTCCGATTTTTTTAGCCAGATACCACTAAATGATTGCAACTATATCATGATGTTCCTATTCAACGACAAGGTATTCCCTGAGAGCTTAAGCTTCATCAGCGGATTTGGGTAAATTAATAGTGAAATAGTTGATTTTCGTAGACATACTTATGACAAAGTTTTATGAAGAAAATCTTTAAAACTATAATAATTTTATAAAATCGTTATTACAATCATTGATTAAAAATTACATAATTACGAACAGGATTATAGGATTATATACTACAGCGGTGATAGTTATAAGTCAAATGATGCGAAAAATCGTCAGTGATATGGCACCCAAGATTATGTTTGATGATTTACCCTATGTCGATAGAATCCTTCGCCTTTGCTTAGATATTTACTTGGTTCGCGAGAGCGGCGATTTATGTCTCGAAGAAGACTTGTTTGCCAAATTGATCTTCCTCTACAGATCACCGGAAACACTAATCAGGTTAGATGCACCATTTTTAGATTGTAATAGATTATATACATATAGATATATTAAAATTTTGCAATTTTAATTATATCTATATATAATCATAATTAAACTTCATGACAAAGATTTGATACAAAAACCTAGTAGCAAGCTGTACAAAAGTTGCAATTAATGAGCAATGATCTATGATTGATAATAAGATAGATAAAAATTTTATATTTTCATTCAATTATATGTTTTATATTCACATAATAAGATTTGTTTGACTATATTCTCATACTTATTTGATTAAGCATACACACGGATATAAGTACACACTTAAACACGACAATAGCATAAATATAAAGTAATAGAGAAGAATTAATTCACAAATATGAATTAAAACAGAACATAAAGAGAAAACTCATTTTTTAATAAATATAATTGCAAAAATCGTTTTATTAGATGGACGAGACCGCCCGAAGAAGGAGAGCGAATTGGTAATGAAGATCAATATGAAGAGAGAGAAGAAATATCGGAAGAAAGAAGACAAGCAGAACTATCGACTCGTGACTGAATACAGAAAATATCAGTTCTTAATTAATGATTTGTATGTGTATTGTGCAGATACAGGTTTCTACGTAATACAGGAAATTTTGAATGAATTCCTTCAAGATAATTTTTCTTTCAGGATGAATAAGATAATAGTGAAAATCATTTTTAAAATCACTTCTAAAATTATTAGAAAATATGAATGAACATCCAATTCTTCGGATTAAACCCGATAAAAAATTTTTTAGTATAAAAATATACACAAATACAAATAAATAGATTATATATAAATTATACATAAAAAATGTCCATATAGAAAATGTCTTCATCTTTTTGTGTAATGTTTATCCATATATTATAGAGAAAAGATAACTGAAATAAGAATAATTGAAATATATTCAGAAAAATAATTTTAGCATCCCGGGAAAAAATATAATATAATTATATATCTTCTATAATTTGTATAATTTTATACATTTTTATGATAAATTTTTTTTACCGGGAATATCCAAAGAATTGAACGAAAAAAAATTGAACATTTCAAGCTTGAAGAAAAATTTCGAATTTTTGCCCGATGATGATTTACGTTTATACGTGTGCATGTGAGTGTGTTCGCATATTTCTCTTTCATGAATATTCATATTTTTTATTTGATCGATGTAATCGTTATTTTAAAAAATTGCTAAACTTGTCAGAAAAATTGAAAAGAGCTCAATTAATAGATTTTGCTGAAAAATCAAATACCTGACCAAGATTACGCGATGCAAATATTTTTATCAAAATATTATAAACATGTTAAGAATATATATATATAAAAAGGTAATTATTATTGTAATATAAGTGAATAATTTATATCAATAATAAAAAAATATGGTAAAAAAAGTTTGCAAATACATAATCATATATTTTCCAAATTTAAAAGAAATTTTTATCTCATGGAGAACTCAGAAATTTAATATCGTATTTATCACAAAGTAATTTTAACAAAATAATTATTCTTACATTCAGAATTATATATGTATACGCATATATGCAATTGTTTTATATACATATATAATTAATACATAAATTTAATATATTATTTAAATGATAATGAAATGGCAGATTTGATTTATGCAATAAATCTGCTATATTTTATTAATAGATTTTGTTAGACTTACGTTCACATTTTGCCAATGTAGCAAATATTTTGCAAAGTCTATTTCCGATAAATTTTATAGTGTATTTGTATTTATGAACTAGAAATTTTGTTCAAACAAATTAATTAATACGCTTTAATTGTGCATTAAAATTTTCGCGCAAAATATTTGCAAAACGTTGGCATTAAAAATTTTTTTTATGAATTTATCTATCAATAAACAGTGCAATTATTTTAAAATGCCGTTATCATTAAAGTTTGCTTAGTGAAATATACGCATATTTTTAGATTGTCCATTTAAGATTTTAAAATTAAGTTATTTGTAAGCTATTGATGAATGACATGATAATTTCTCAATCGTTTTTATACGTATTTTTAGTTGCGAATGCGTATAGCTTTGCAATTTGGCTAATTTGCCAAAGATATTCACACATTAAATAATTTCATGAGAAATGTATCATCGCAAGAAAGTGTTTATATTGTATATAAATATGAATGTGTATATGAAAATATAGCAGCTCATTAATATGAATTATTAAGATATTATTTTCATATATATATATA